CATTCAAGAAGGAAGAATACTATGATATATACATGTTCTTAGAAAACATAGTTATGTTTACATGAAATCATCTCTTGGATTCTGTATTCTATTTTTTTTAACACCGTTTCTGGTGTTACTTATTTGGTATAATTGTAAAAAGAAGTAGTTTATCAATTGTATCTTACTTAGCACATGTCTAAACTGCAGACTGACCATCATAGACATTTTCCTGTTATTCAGTTTATAACCTCATTATCCATATGTTGATTGTACATGAATATTCTGAGGTGAAACCAGATTTTTAAAAATGATGTTGTTGAATTGGAAATTTCTGATATTTGTGTACCTACTTTTAATGATAGGGTAAAAGGAGCAGAAGAAGAACAAACAAAGGTTAAAGTGCTGGCAAATGCCGTTCATTACCAAAGTTTATAGTGGATTGTAGTCACTTGCCTTGTCTTGGCCTTTTTAGCACACACCAAGTTTCCACTCTGTCTCCCTGCTATTCTGGATAATTAGGTGGAAAATGCTGAGAAACCCGAAAAATTGGGAAGATGAGTAACATATCTTTTTCTGCATACTTAAATATTTCAGATATTTAATTGACCATTTCAAAAGAAAATTGCTGTGTGATACCTAGCAATTTTTAAGTGAATTTCCCCTATGGGACAAATTACTAAAATGTCAAAATTGTCCAGTTATAATAATGCTTTGTCACTAATGTCTAGGAAAAACAGGAAATACAAATGATCACCCACAGAATGATTTTAAAAAAAGTAGTTATGACTGAGCATTGTCTAATACCAAGCACTGTTTTGGATACTTCACTTATCTCAAACTCTCAATAGCTTTGTCAAAGGATACTGTTATCTTTATTACATAGAAGCATAAACTGAAGCCCAGAGAGCTTCAAGTGATTTCTACAAGCTGTTTAGTAGTGTGTTAGGAAGCCAAATTTATATATTTTCAATTATATAAAGATGTTGCATCACAAGTGTTAGGTCGCTATGGAAGGAAGTAAAGTCAATTTCATATAGTAGAATAAAATTACCACCTTCTTTTTCAGTCAGAATTAACCACTGGCATTTTAGTAACAAAGCTTACAGGTATTTTTATGCAAACAAATATCTGAATTTGAAATACCTGTTTCCATTGTAGATGTCACATCACCTCAGTTATCAGTCCTGATTCCTCAAAGTGAAAACTTTACAAGATTTTATTTCCCCATTTTTTTCCTTCCATTTAAGTTTCTCTCTCTGATTTCTGATAACTTCATAATAAACAACTCAGGTTAGGCATTGAGGATCAGCAACGCTGTATATTATGATAAGTAATGGAGACAGAATTTTGGTTTTTTAATTTCATAGACCTTTCCTAATGTTAAAAAAGGGTCACTAAATATGGGCTTAGATGGTGATAGGAATCAAATTTTGTTTCAGTATGTACTCTATTGTTAGAAATAATCGAACAAAGTTCATGATATGAATTTACTTCAGCTGTTAATATATACATGCATTTAAAGTGATCAAAGGACAAGCACACAGGTCTATGTTACAAAAGTAAATACCGAGTTAGTTATATATGCCCTCCTGTCAGATAATCCCACCCACTGTCAATTTTCAGTGGTGTGTTTTTAAAATTAAAATGAAGTTGTAAGGGAAGTACTGTCACTTAACAGTAAGTATATATTTATAATAATTTTTCTTTAATTTAAATTGATACCCCATACTGGAAACTATTCATAAAGAATTCATGAGAATAATTGCTCTTGGAGAGAAATTAAAGGATACTTTTAAACTAAATAAATAAAAGGTATTCACTCACTTTAATATTCCTATTTTAATACTAATGGATAAGAACATCAGTATTTGTTTTTCTAAGTAGCTTGCTCAATATTTAAACGTCTTGAAATTAAACCAAGTAGATATATCAGGAAATACATTTTTTATCATTTTTAAATAAGTGATGATCTATAATTTTTTGTCATGAAATATTTAATCAGAGGCTAGAAGTGTTTAAAATACAGAATGCTACTTACTGTGTGCATGTCTATAAAATGTACAAATCATTTTTAAACTATTTTGTTATTTTCACTGTACATATTTCTGGAGGTGGGAGTGCTTCCCTGCTGGCTCAGTGGTTAAGAATCTACCCACCAGTGCAGGAGACACGGGTTCGATCCCTAGTCTGGGAGGATCCCACATGCCATGGAGCAACTAAGCCTGTGCAACTCGACTGTTGAGCCTGTGCTCTAGAGCCTGGGAACCACAACTGCTGAGCCCACACACCACAGCCCCTGAAGACAGCATGTCTGTGCTCCACAGCAAGAGAAGCCCCCGCAATGAGAAACTCATGCACCACAGCTAGAGAGTGGCCCCCACTCATGGCAGCTAGAGGAATACCTGCATATTAACAAAGACCCAGCACAGCTTAAATAAGTAAATATTTCTGGGGGCTATTCTTGATATGATCAAGATTATGAAGACTAATATTGGATCAGTATTAGATATCCACCGTAACAGTGAGATTGATAAGTTGTTTAGAATCAGGTTCTTAACAGAGACATCATGGCAAGGTAAAAATAGCAACAAAAAACATAAATTAGAATAGTACTGAGATCTTTTCTTTTCAGCTTCCTAGATCTGTGTACTAGGAGGGCAAGAGATTTAATCTCTCTGAGAACTATATTCCTTATCTTTAAAATAGACATAAGAAGATTTTCTTAGCAAGATAATATTGATGATTAGAGATAATATATAGAGAGAGCACCTCACATAGTGTCTGAGATGGGCATTTATTTTCTACATAAGTTTCTTTAAAAACTGTCTGGAGAAAACCAATATATATGTCATAATAACTGATTTCCTGGTCATATAGAACTGATAATAATTATAAGGTAAGATTTTGGAAGGATTTCAGTGAAGGATTTAATTTCTCTTCAATATGGTTTTTGAATTATGCCTTTTATCTTCATTCTTACTATTATATGTATGATTACTAGTCAGGGGAAAAAAGGAATATCTCTTTATCCAAACTATTCCAGGCTTAAACACAATAGAAATTATTTATAAAGTGGCAAAGAGAGAATAGAAATGAAAGAAGACTGTCATTACTTGTTTAAATTATACTTAACTATTGAAGAGATGCATTTTTAAAGTTCATCTTTTATTTTACACTTTAATAGCCTTTATGAGAAGTCTGATAGTAAAGGTAGAGGACAGTAATGACTTTTGCAAATGATATAGAAAATCGTACCTTTTGATGAATATAAAACTAAAATATAATATATGGCTTTAATTTATTCATATATTTCCAGTCTTCACAAAGGAATATTGAAGTTGACTGATTTAACAGTAACTCAGTCTTAACATATGATTTATGAGAACAGAGCTGAATAAATCAGAGTAGCATAAGGTAAATGATATCCAAGCAACATAATATTCATATACAAATAGCAACATTTCACATCTTAAATGCAACATACAGTTTCCAAAGCTTTTATAGCAGGAATAGAACTTGTAACATCACAGTGGCCCAGAGTACTGATTTTATAGGTTTCTAAAACTTGAGCAAAAGTTTGTTCTGGCCTTAAAAGTCCAGAAGAAAGGAATCACTACAGTAACTTTACATTATGCAACAGAAATGTTTTCAACTTTTATTCATTTAGCAAATACTTGAGATGGTTATTATGCTCTCATTTATAAAAGGCAACCATTTTTAGACATTATAAGATATGTTTTACATTTCTGTATGAGTAGTTTGCGAGCTTACCTGGTGAAAAAATGTGAGTGAAAGCTGACTTAAATTCAACATTCAAAAAATTAAGATCATGGCATCCGGTTGCATCACTCCATTGCAAATGGGTGGGGAAAAGTAGAAACAGTGACAGATTTTATTTTCTTGGGTTCCAAAATCACAGTGGATGGTGACTGCAGCCATGAAATTAAAAGATGCTTGCTCCATGGAAGGAAAGTATGATAAACCTAGACAGCATATTAAAAAGCAGAGACCTCATTTGCCAGCAAAGTTACATATAATCAAAGCTATGGTTTTTCCAGTAGTCATGAACAGATGTGAGATCTGGACCATAAAGAAAGCTGAGGACTGAAGAATTAATGCTTTCGAATTGTGCTGGAGAAGACTCTTGAGAGTCTCTTGGACTTCAAGGAGATCAAAGCAGTCAATCCTAGAGGAAATCAACTCTGAATATTCATTGGAAGGACTGACTGATACTGAAGCTAAAGGTCCAATATTTTGGCCACCTGGTGGGAACAGCCAAATTACTGGAAAAGACCCTGATGCTGGGAAAGATTGAAGGCAAGAGGAGAAGGCAGTGACAGAGGATGAAATGGTTAGATGGCATTACCAACTCAATGGACATGAGTTTGAGCAAACCTCAGGAGATAGAGAAGGACAAGGAAGCCCAGCATGCTGCAATCCATGGGGTCACAGAGAGTTGGACACAACTGGGCAACTAAACAACAACAACATGAGTGATTTTATTTCATACTCACAGCATTCCTGGGAGATAGGTATTGCTTTTTATGCTTTACTCTTCAGAAGAGGAAGCTGTGCTCAGCTAAATATCCTTACATTTCCACAGATGTAAAGTTTGGATTCAAAGTCAGTTTGTTTGTTTCATATATAATAGTGCTCCTTCAATGATGGCAAATGACTATGTGATTTTTTTTTTCCACTTATCTCCTTATAGAAGAGACATACAATATGACACTGTTCTATGCCATTTTTACTTTTGGTTTATGATAATAAACAATTAGTAATGCTTTGATGTACTATCCTTCAAATATATACACTAAATGTACCCTTCATTTTTATGGGAAGAAAGTATATGTATCAAAGTTATTAACACCACAACTTTGAACATATCCTATACTCAGTCTACTCAGATAAACAGTCCAGAGCTTAAATAAGAAGGCGAATGAATTCCTTAATGAAAAGTGCCTGAATGTGTGCTCCTACTATGCCTGATTTATCAAGCACTTTCTTTTTGCTTTCAGGAATGACTTGCCAAGCTCGGACATCGTACACCGAAGATGAAGTTCTCTGGGGTCATCGTTTTTTCCCTGTAATTTCCTTAGAAGAAGGATTCTTTAAAGTTGATTACTCCCAGTTCCATGCAACATTTGAAGTCCCCACCCCCCCTTACAGTGTGAAAGAACAGGAGGAAATGCTCCTTATGTCATCTCCTTTAATAGCACCAGCCATAACTAACAGCAAAGAAAGACATAACTCTGTGGAATGCTTAGATGGACTTGATGACATTACTACCAAACTTCCATCTAAGCTGCAGAAAATTACTGGAAGAGAAGACTTTCCCAAAAAACTCTTAAGAATGAGTTCTACAACTTCTGAAAAAGCCTACAGCTTGGGCGATTTGCCCATGAAGCTTCAACGAATAAGTTCAGTACCTGGCAACTCAGAAGAAAAACTGGTATCTAAAACCACCAAAATGTTGTCTGATCCCATGAGCCAATCAGTGGCTGATTTGCCACCGAAGCTTCAAAAGATGGCAGGAGGAGCAGCCAGGATGGAAGGGAATCTTCCAGCAAAATTAAGAAAAATGAACTCTGATAGATTCACATAACAAAACACCCTTTCAGGCTTTATTTATTGTTTGATTTAGTAATAGTCCAATATTTGGCTGATGAGGTAATCCTCTCTAAGGAATTTGAAAGGTACATTTTTTTCTCCCAGTCATATATGCATATTTGAGAACCCTACCTTTTCAAGTATTGCTACTGTGCAGAAAGAAAATGTTATAAAGGTGGGACATCAGAAGGAAGTTCTTAATAATGGGCATGTATTATCACATCAAGCATGCAATAATGTGCAAATTTTGCATTTAGTTTTATGGCATGATTTATATATGGTATATTTATATTGTATATTATGGAAATTGTATATATATATTTAAAGGGGTGGTACTACCCACAATATTTCTAACATATGTATTAAGCCAAACATGAGTTGATAGCTTTCAGGGTGATAAAACTATATATATGTGTGTGTACACATAGTTTTATATATACACACACATATATATGTACATATATATATATATTCACACATACATACATATATCTGATAAAATTGTGATGTTTTGTTCAAAGTTGTAGTTCTTGTGCATGTTTACTTTATTAGGCTAGGAAAGCTTCTGGCATTAATTATTAATACCAAATATTTTAGCCTTAAATTATTTGTCATTTTAAAATCTGATTTAATGTTTTCTGCTGTTTAAGGACCTGGAAGGTTTTCCATTGTACTTTTTATGAGGGAGTCACACAAGTATGTGCTACTTATGGCCCTGCAAAAATGTAACCATTATATATTTGACATGTAAATTTTGAAGCACACTAATACACTGACAATTTCTAATGATTTTTAAAAGTTGCTAGTACTGGGGAAAAAATAAACATTGCTTATTTTGAGAGTTGGTCCTTTCCTGGACTAAAGTCTGGAAATCTCTTTTGTATATGATCTAATTTAAATATGAGCTCTGAACAAATGGTGCGTCATTGTAATAGTCAGTAGCCAAGTAATATTGAATATATTGGAATCTGTGTGAAATTGCATAATGAATGGTCCCTGTTTCGAGCTGAGTGAATTGGTAATATTTTTCACTCTTTTTCTCGAACTTTTGTCATTTTAAAAACCAATAATTAATCCTTGAGTAGACAAAACAACACAATGAAATAGATGATAGATATTTATGCATAAAATAATGTATGTCTAATCATGTCTCTCATTTTATGCCATTTTCTTGTTTGTGGCATTTGTTATAACAGGACAGGTTTTTTTCCTCACCTGGGCAACCTACTTTATCCCATACCTGTCACTCAATTCAGACAGAATGTTTTGTACATACCTGAGAGAATTTAAAATCAGATAACTTGAAGATATTTTACCCATGTGAGTTCTTTGCTTTGTTTTGTTTCAGTAAACAATCAATTTATTAGTGTCTTGGATCTCTCGCCTACCAAAATAAGTGTAGCAGTACTATTTTTTTAACCCAAAGGTCTGATATTTATGACTCATTAATGGGAATTAAAACTATTCCTCAAAAGAACACAGGCGAAATAAAGATTTGGAATGTAGAGATTTTAATGAAAATTTGTAAGTGCTCCTTATCAGAATATCATGGACTTTCCTATAAAACTTCTTTGGGTGTTGTACTCTAAAGTCTGTCCAGAATTAATCTATTTCTCCTTATAAATATGTAAATCCTTAATAGCTGGTTTGGAGTCCCGCTATTTTCCCCTTTTTTAGCAATCCTGGGATGATTTTCATATTGGAAAATTATTACATCAACAATTCTGTAATTGACTACAATAATATTAATACCTTCTGGCTACCTCTGTATCAATCAAATTCTGCAGGTGCAAACATATACCAGGGAATTGTTACTGGCAAAATGATCAACTTTGGGCATCCATCCACTGTGAATAGACCTGGTTGACCTAACCCTTTACCCCCAAACTTTCTTATTTGCTGGATACAGGAAATGAAATAGTAGCAGAGTGAGAAGGGGCCTGAGGGGCACAGTATATTTGTTATCAGTGGAAGAAACTGCACAGATCATTTAGTCCAACCACTTAAAACTAAAGAGCCATAATTTAATTTGGAGAGTCATTTGAGTTTGGTTTTGGTGCCAAGGGGAAAATGGGACCAAAAATAAACTCTCCAAATGCATTCAATCATTCATTCAGTGAAATTTCTGCATGTCTTTTAAGTTCTAGGCATTTTTAGCTCCTGTAGATTTGGATATGACTAAGTCAGAAGTGGTCCTTGCTCATTCAAACACCATATATCAGTTGGAGAGGGGGGAGGGGAGATAAAAATAACATAATTTCAGAGTCAAAATATCAGTTAATGGAAGGAAAGCAGAGTAACACAATGGAAAATGATTGGGTGAAATAATTGATTATTTTGGAAGGGGGAGGCGGTGATATTTAAACAGAGACCTGGATGATGAGAAAGAACCACTGTTGCCAAATTAATTTTTCTTAGTGAATGCTATTCCTTTCTCTTTCCCACATATATATGGGAAAAGTATGATTTCTGCATGTAATTGCAGTTTAACTCCTGTTACTAAGTTGATCATTGGTCCCGGTTTACCCAGGAGAGTTCCAGTTTTTACCTGTTGTACCTGTGTAATTATTAATAGTACTCCCTTTCACTCTTATAATGTCTTGGTTTGGATGATATATGGTGACTCTACATTTTTGTTGAGACTATATTATGAAGTCTGATATATTTGGATAAAAATAAAGAATTGCTTTTTCTTCTCATTTTGCTGATTTTTTTGACACTGGCATTCCAAGCAAAGTCATCTCAGTTTCATATATTTCTTCCTGGAGGACTTCTTAACAAAGTTATTTCCTGTAACATGTGTTTAATCTGTACATGACATGTTTTCCTAGCAGTGAAAAGTTATGCATTTTATTGACTAAATAAAAGGTAAACCTTTGATATTTCCATTTCAGGAATTTGTAAGAGCTCAAATCAAATGGAGTAAAAGTCAACTTAAGTCAAAATAATTTTCAGCCCACCAACGTGGCAACTGTTGTAAAGCAAAATATAGTATTCATTAAACTGAATAATTCAACTTAATTAGAAACTAGTCCCTTTTAATGGGATTTTCATGGGTAGTTCTGTCATGGTAAAATATTTCATTCTATTTATTTAAATGTAAATGCAAATACAATTATTTTGATAATGCCTATCTTCAATTTAAATATCCTTCTCAGCAATATGTGGATACATTTTTGTAAATATATATTCAATTAAAAATTAGAATATTTTTTCATTAATTATTTATGAAAAAGTTCTTATGCTGTTTTAAATTCATCCATATATGGGATTAAATACTTTGGAAAGTATTTAGTTGTGTCAGTACTCAAGAGACACTTTGTAGAAATAGGATGGAAACATAAAGTATGTTTTCTTTTGGAGGAAAAGTGAGATTATGGGGAAGGTGGCTTACATTCCATTTTAGTGAAGGTTTCTGCTATTTCATACCTTGAAGAGAGATCAGCTTGACCACACAGCACATCCATGAGCTCTACTTCAGAATTTGTGCTTGAGTTATGTTGTACATGTTTAAATTAGCATCAAGCTAATTGCATTGTCTGGTAAGCTATTTATTATTATTTAAATGTGCAAGGTCATTTAGGTTACAAAAGTAGGAACTTATGTATTCAATACTGCAAGTTCAGTTTTATAAAAACTGTTTTAAACTTTGAAAATATGATTGGGTTAAATTTTTATAGTATGCTCATCCTTTTTCTACTTCCCAAAACTTGATGACTCACATTACTTTATTTGGTCTATCATAAGACTCTTTAACTCCTGAAAATTAATAATTCAGTCCATTACAAGTCTTTCCTCAAAGGTTACTTTTATTTTGGCTCCTTACTGATGAGATGCTTCAGCAATACAGAACCTGAACTTACTAATACAGATCATTTGAGACCTGCATTTCTTGGAAGAAGCTTCATGACCATCTTACCCTTTGCTGAATCTGAGTATCAAAAGCCACAGTAAGTAAAGCAGACAAATACACAGTTTTCCTAATTTTTTTTTAAGTATTAAATCACCTTTTGGAAAAGTGGTCATTTACTTTTTCTGATAAGTGTTTCAAGGAAAAAGTGTTTTCCTAATTTTAGATCAGATGAGTTTGATGATATGTCATATGTTCAAGTCTCTGGTGCCTCACACAATTAATCCACAAAGTTATGTTCCTACAGTTCTGCCATAGTGGAGTTCAAAATGGATGATCTGCATCATCCAGTAGAATTTTTTTCCAAATTATGGTTTTTTGTACCTGAAAACTTTCTCAAAATCATGGCTGTTTTTGAATATTCAGGCTGCGTGTGACCAATGGACAAAAGATATAGTAGGGCCCATTATCTTTCCTCATTACTTATTAAATTCAGCATTCAATTTAACTACTCTTTATCCTTTTCCAGGTTCACTAGTCAATCACTTACATCAACTTTACATCAACTTTATGTGGTGGAGATTATCCCTTTTGCACTTGAAAAAACTGATTCTAAGTGAGGTTGTTTAGAGGGTTTTTAATTAAATGAAATCCACAAAGCTGAGTGGTCCTTACCTTCTTGGGTGGTTCTGTTGCTATGCTGTTGCCTCTGGATTTTCCATTTGGGGCATTATCTGTTTACATTGTGGTAGATGGACATATATTTATACTTCTACACTTGCTGTTCACCATACCTCTACTGTGTACACGTGTGCATGTTCAGTTGCTCAGTCATGTCCAACTCTTTGCATCCCCGTGGACGACTGTAGCCCACCAGGCTCCTGTGTCCATGGGGTTATCCAGGCAAGAATACTGGAGTGGGTTGCCATTTCCTCCTGCAGGGGATCTTCCCAACCCAGGCATCAAACCCATGTCTTATGGCTCCTGCATTGACAGGTTGGACTCTTTACCACTGAGCCACCTGGGAAGCCCCTACTATGTACACCCTACCCTAGATTTCCAATATTGTTATATATTTTCATATTTTTGACTAGATTAATTAGCAGTGTTTTAAGTTCTACTGTATGGATGTGAGAGTTGGACTG